CCCCCCCCCCCCCCCAAAAAAAAATGATGGGGCTAAGGTTGCAGTGGTGTTTGCAGTGGTGTTTGCAGTGGTGTTTGGTGTTTTGCTTTCTTTTTGTTTTTCCTCTTAAGCCATACTTAAACATTCCCCCTCTTCCTCCCCCCACTCCCACCAAGGAGTTTCAAGGAGCTGAACACATAACGGATCAGGCTCCAATGGCTTGTTTTATGCTGCAGGTATGACGAATGCTATCCCCAGTGCTCTGGTGACCTAGCAAGAATGCTGATGTCTTGGAGCAGGTGATTAAAGCTAAGCTGCTTTCAGTTGATGGTAGTATTGCCTGTCTCCCAATCTTATGGTAAGATGCAGCCTAGGTACATGTAAGTGTCTACAGAATGGCACTTAAGGTTCCCCTCATGCCTATAAGTGGCTTTAGAGTTGGTGTGAGGCCTTTAAACACACAACACATTCTTTTCCAGAAAAACTATAACGATGTTGACTAGTAAGAGTCACGAGAAGCACGGCGGTGATGTTTACATATTAAACTGTGCCTTAAAGCCCAGGCAGGGAATTACTAATTAGTCAAGTTTCCATGTACCACTTTATCAAGTATGCAATCATCTGATCACCTGACACAATTAATACAAATTGCTGTGTCTCCAGTGTTGTTGCCCTCCAGCTGAGGAGCGTTGCCAAGAAAAGGTTTCAGAACCTCTCTAGGAGAATTCACTTCTGTCGTTGCTTCTCTCCAGGGAAAGTGGCCAATGAGTGTAGTCGGGAGAGGGGACAAGAAATGGCTTAAATGCAAAGAGTTGTTTCCGTAGGGTCTGTGGTCAGAAGTGGGCAGGGGGTGAATGTCATCACTGCGGTTTCAGTGGCAACATCTTTCCCTGGAACTAAAACCGACTCCTTAGCAAGAATGTGCCTGCTTTAATAACCTGTGTAGGCCAATCTTCACACATAGCCGCTATCCATTCTGGGCAGGCTATACTGATAGAAACAGGTGGTTGAGAGAGAAGGATTAGGCAGAGGGACTCTTTGACTAAGCAGCAGCCAAGGATAGGGTATTGCGAATTCCCTAATGGGCTTGGAGTAGAACTGTTTTATATTTTTTCTTTACCAATACATTTGATAGCAATGTGTCCTTTCTCTCCCCCACCCCACAGTTGCCCTTACATAATCAAGGAGCATTGGGCCGTGCTTCCAGTGAAGTCAAATGAAAGACTGTCAAATTCAAACAGGTTCTTCATACAGCAACAGGGCAGCTATCTCTGGAACAAGGGCAACTAAAAGGAGGGTGTAGTAGCCAAAGCTACTTCAGCCTGGTCTTTTTTTACTGTCATCTCCCAAGATCTTCATCTATGGAGGAAGTTCTTGGTTATGTAAACTGGAAGAGAATAACTGATCCTTCAGTTTTTATTCTGCACTGCAAGGCCCATCCAGTCTCAGGCTTGCAAATGCTCATCTTGGACCTTGCAAGCTGTGTGTATTCTGCCCTTAAACTGGGGGGGGGGAAATAAGTCTCTAGTGTGTGCCTTTGGATGAATCGCCTGTCTTCATGAATGCTGATAATATTCTGTCCCCTTCGCTAATTGATTTGGACAAAGAAGAAATAAATCTTCTGTTAAGTTTGTTTTCTTTTCCATGTCTAACTTCATCAGATCTTGAAAGCAAGAAGTATTTGTAAGGGGTGTACTTGGTATCATTTTGGAACCAAGAGTTCTAGTTTTTTGTAAGTAATTGTAAGAGCGCTTGATCAGCTGTGGCCAGATGATTGCTTGACATCTTACTGCATGCTGCTGGGATTTGTGGGTACAGCTGATCTGCTTCATTGGGCAAAACACGTGGCCCATTGTTTTTCAGAGTCAGGTCCTTGTTGCTTCCAGGAACAGCCGGGGCCCAATCCTGAGGGACAACCCTGGGGTATGTCTCTGAAATAGGGGAGCCCCAGGTTTTCCCATGAGCAAATGAGTGCCTGGGGATCCTGGGATTGCCTCTGCAAATGGAGAAATGGGCAGGTACTTCAGGGGCTCAACCTGCATGCCTCAGGAAGGAGAATCACTGGGGTGTGCAGGACTGGGCCTCTGAAGCCCTGGGAGCAACTACCCAGGGTGGCTGGAAAATGTAGGCAGCTCCAGGCTGCCTGGGCTCTCCAGCATTAAAGCAAACAGATGTCTGCCACAACATGGGTGCAATGGATTTGTTTCACTGTTGGCAACCACAGATGTTGGGCATTTGTAGTGTGACAAGGGGCATAGACTTATGTTTGCTTAGCCTTTGTGCCGCCATAAAAGTCTTTATGGCGGCACAAAGGTGACCTCTTTTTCCAGCCTGTACTCAGCTGAAAAGTTGGCATCCTAGAAGGGATTTCTGAAAGTGCTATAAAATATACTGGAACTGCATTATCTGAATTTCCTGGCTAAGAATGTTGTTATGACTTCTGATCAGAAATCTACAGGCATCTTTGTTTAATGTTTCCTCTTATGCTGTAGAGAAGCTAAGATTCAGGCTGAAAAAATGGCTTTTTTTTTCTTCTTTTTTGTTAAGGGGACTCTAATTGAGCTGTTCAAGATAAAGAGCTAAAACAGTGGGCAAAAGAATTGCTCTCTATTGCGAAAAGTGGGTTTGGGGAAGTTGTTTCTCTACCATATGTTGGTAAAGCATCATGTTCTGATGTCCTGTAAAATATACCAAAGAAACAGTTCGGAGCATTTCCCCGCCACCCCCACCTTTTAAATCATGACTGCTAAAAGCCTTGATGTTACTGGGGACTAGATAACAAAGCCCAGCCCAGCACAATATAATGTCCTGTCCAAGGTATCTTAGTGAACATGGGCTAACATAGCATGCCAAAAAAAAAATCTAGTGTTTCTGTGTTCTTATCTACAGATGTGCCCAAATGCATTTTACACAGTGCAGCCATACTCTTGAGAATGAGCCCAACTCTTAATTTTTGTAAGTGGTTGGTTTTCTAACGCACTGAACACTCGATGAATGCTGAATTGCAATTTATTTTGTGCAATCAAGACTCTAGCAATGATTTGGAAACACGTTGGATACTCATTGGGGTCATCGTGTCGTGTTTTCCTCTCTCCCTTTGGGAGACGGTGTATGTTATCACACCCCCTATGGAACTAAGCTTTTGAGAGCTGCAAGTCGGTCATTATTTATTCAGAATTTCATTTTTCGAGATGTGAATTAAATGCTGAAACAGGAACTGAGGGATTTTTGTTACTGGAGAGGTCATTGATCCTGATATCAAGTTCCTCAGTTTGGCAAATCCAGGTCACTGTGAAGAGACCTAACCAGCTCCAAAGTAAATTGGACATGGTCCATTTGGAATTGGTCCAGCTGTATTGACCTTCGAAAGGGTACATTTTGAGCAATGGTAGAAAAGTAAATTTGTAGTCCAGCTTTCTTGTGCCTGCCTGCTAGTAACTTCTCAAAGAAGCGCTTTGAAGTAGCCTGTAAACAAATTCCCACATTGTTGCCATGATTCACGAGCAGCCTGTTTTCCGTAGTCTCCATTCTACCTCTTCAGCTGCAAATCTCTATCCTTCTTTTGGCATATCCAGTTTTCCAGATTGGCTAGCAATCTAGAGCTTCAGTTCTGGAGGGCACGTGTTGTCTCACTTCCTTCTTGATGTCAAACCCTTTTGGTTCCCCTGTGCAGAATATATGCATAATTGCTATTGTGCATCTTTTCTGAAAGTTCCTTTTTGAGGGCTTTGTGCAACAAAGCCAACTGATGGGATCAATTGTATACCAGGGTACAGGAGGATGAGGCCATTGTAAGAAGTGGAGCCTTTTTTTTGGTATGTCAGATGGCTGGAGAGAGCTATCACAGTTTGCTAAGCATGTACATGTTCAGACCTTAGTGTGTTGAATTCCAAGTTGAATGAGAAGGATGTAATGGTAAAGTTAGGCTCTGCTTGGCACACAAACCGACTTAAGAATGCAAAGCCTGTAAGGAATTTTCTCGCTGAAGAGCCTGTTTGTATAGCTGGCTCTAAATAGTTTCTTTTGTCTAAATGCATTTCTTCTATATGGTTACACTATTCTGAGTCATAGTTCTGCAGCGTGAATCAGTGTTGGCTGTTGTTCCGATCCTCACTTCTGTTTTTCATTGCCCTCAAACTGTCTCCACGGGACATAACTACAACATCCCTTGGTAGAAAGCAATGCATCTGCCTGCTAGTGGATTGGCGTATTTTAAATGAGCAAGTCTATTACCTTCAAGTTCATCTTGCAAATTAATCAAATCTGAAGAATGAAAGGCATTTGTGTAGGTTGTATCCAGTGCATGAGGAGCTACTTATTGCCAATAGATCTTCTAGTGGTGCCTGGGCTGAAAGTCTTGATGATCCTGTTTTGGAGTTTTTGGGTGGTCAGTTGAAAACAGCAGTCAAGCACTCCAGTTAAGAAATCCTCGGATGGAGATTACCTTTGTAGTGTCACTTTGGCTGCTTTGTGTGTTTGCATCACAACACTTTAATTACGTTCTCCTGCTCTTTTCCATTGGTTCCTTGTTTCCTCTGTTCAGCATAGACACTGCTGACTGACTGAGCACCTGCTCAGTGTGTGCTTGCTTGCTTGTTCTTAAACCTTTATTCATAATGTATGGCCCATGATTTAAGAAGTGACAGGAAAAGCAAAGGGCTTCAGAAGGGCTCTACCTTGCCAAATTTCCACTTGCTTCAGGAAGGCTTTGAAGCAGTCTTTTGTTTCAACCCAGTGTGAAAAACTTTCCCCCTAAACTTTTTGCTGTTTGTTTGTTTTGATAAAGCTTACAAACTTTGAGCCTAAACTACTTGCATATGGCAGATGTGTAAGTAAATTGAGCAAATGTAATTCTTAGCTCTGCTACTTTATATTGTCTATTTTGACCTGACACTGGGTACGTCTGCACGAAGCCCTAACTGAATGGTAACCTAATTCTACTGCATGATAGCGTGCAGGGCAAAACCCACGTTTAATATGCTACTGCAGAGTAGTGTTAGGCTACTGCACAGTTGGCACCACTAAAAAGCTATGTGCTGGTGCTACTACATAGTACATACTACATAGTAGCACCAGTTACTGTGAATTGATTTAGTATTTGGCTTTGCAAGTACTAAACTTAATGCGCAGTAACTACAGAACATTAATAAATGTGTGGATGCACCCAGTGAGTCTAAACTTGTAAGAAGCAGGCTTCATTATGAATATGAGTCTGATAATGGCAGTTGGCAATAACTCTACTTCAAGGACTGTGGAAGTTGCGGACTCCCGTAAAACTGAACGATTTTTCTACTGTTGCTTGACGTCTGCCATATTTCTCAGTTTATCTACAACAAGGAAGGTGGTAGAGAGCACAGATGCTGGCTGAACCCTAGCTATGATCTTTCAGCAAAGAAAATGTCTATTGGAGTGATTTTGTTTTTCTTCAACCAGGGTGCCATGGCCCCAGTTAGCATTGTTAGCTGTGCAAACACGATTTACAAGACAAACCCAGAGATTCCAAATGGGAATTCATAGTATTAAAAACCTTCTGCCCTGTTGTGAGCTTTCTGAGCTCCTTGCAACAGAATTGCTGTATTTTTTCTATAGTTAAAAAAAAACCAAGTGAAAACTAAGAGCTGGCATTGCCCAAGGATAGCGCAAGTCTAAAACCCAGAAGACTAGTGGTTCTCAGTAAATTCAGTAGTGGCCTCTTGGAGCATCTTCACTGGAAGGTAGATTGTCTGTCAGTGGCAGCTGCATTGTTCCCAAAGATTGCATTGTGTGAGCAGTTGATAGTTTGCTAGGAGACCAGGGACTGTGTGTGTGTGTGTGTGTGTGTGTGTACACTTGTCTCAAAGGATCATAGATGTCTGTGTGCTAGATTGTCTGGCCTGATTTAATAACCCACATGGAGTCCATGCCTGCTCATTGGCTCTAAACTTTAATATGTTAAGCAAGAACTTGGCACTACATAGCACTGTATGGCTGAAAACAAAGTAAATGGTAGTAGGAGCTCTTTTTAAGCTAGCATGGAAATTGAAGATTGACTGGCTTGGGGAACTGTGGCATTATTAGGCTTGAGCTATTAACATTCTCAGCTTGTGGAGCTGTGGTTTTGCAGCAGTTATTTGTTCTTTCATGCAACATCTAATCAACATGTTTAATGTCAGGCTAGGCACGTTTTATAAAGGGTTGAGTGGCTGTGCCACTAATGCGTAATTTTAGAAGGTGGGGGGGGGAGAAGAGTATGAGAATTTTTAACAGAAATTTAATTTTATTACCACCACTTCTGTTACTTCTAACCAGCTATTAAGTGGGGGAGATGTAGCATCTAGGGCTACCTGGATAGCAATTGCCTCTCAAAGCTCCACTACCTGAGGGACACAAGCAAAACACTTGTCCCCATGGTGCTGGTGCAGTATGCAGCCTCCTGTTCTTCCAGCCAACAGTTCTAATAATGAGCAGTGGCTTAGGTCTTGGTCTGAGTGAAAGCATGTCTGCATTTCAGTAAAGGACTCTGCTCCCAGTGCTATTTGCATTTTGCATTAGAGGCTCAGAACCCAGGGTTCCCTCCCTCTTGGAGGGCACTGCCATCATTGAGCTACAGCTGAGCTCTCCCCACCAGCCCCGTGACTCTAGGGAGGGGATGAGAGGGCTTTCAGGCACTCCTGGGCTTGTCAGGTTGAGGGAATCAAACCCACGTCTCCATTTCATCATTGAATACTCGATCTCGCATATTATGCAAAGGTGAGTTAAAACACCACTTTTTTTTTTTATGAATGAATGAATGAAAGTGTTTGAGTGCATCACACTGACAGACAGCATTGAGTGGGGCATGCACTGCGCACACCTACTGGATGCGGTCTCTAGGGGTACTTGAATACAAAATGCATAGTGGTGAGTGCCAAACTACGTTAGATGGGATACAGGCACCTGAACACTTGGCTCAGCCAAGATGAGGGTGCCCCAGGCACATGTGGTGGTTGACTTCCTCAAGTCAGTTGTGTCTGGTGGGGTGAGGCTGCTGTGAACTGCTTTTTTGTCACTGGGTACATATCTTCTGACCAAGTTTCTCTGTGTGTGTGTCTCGCCCCAGATAGCTGCAGTGATACTGAAATTAAGAGTGTAAACTAATGCCTTCTTCATGAGGCTATGGGAAGCCTGGCCAGTTCAGGCATCAATGGTATTGTTTCACATTCTTCTAAAATTGTTTTGCATCATATGAAGGCTTAAAAGTGACTTCTTCATGCTAACAAGTTACTTTGAACAAGCTTATGGGCCTGTGTTAAAATTTCCAGTTACTTCCCACTTCAAGCTCTATCAACTGCCCTTTCTTCAGCTGTCAAACTCCAGAGGCTCCTTGCATCCTTCTGACATTGTACAGTGGTTTTGTATCATCTCCGCAAAAGCAAGTTTCAGTTAAGAACTAAAAAATAAAATATGAACCCTTAAGTGGATGAATCTGTGACGAGACCTCTCAGTGTTAAGTTAACTAAGTTTTAGCAGACTTTCCAGGTTGCTGGGGACTTCTACTCAACTTGTCAGCGAAATATAGCTGCGCAGAGCATTGCAATTACAGCGTAGTTGTGGCCACCCAACAACTTTACATCCCGAAACATTTCATCACGAGGGAGAGGGTGGTACTATTACTGGCGTCGATGTAACATTCGTGACACTTAAGCAGAAGTACTGGCTCCTATGCTCATTGAACCCTTTTGCTGTGACAGTTGGTGAGCAACAGTTGCTAGGCAAGCTAACCTTTCCCTGTCTGGTCATCTGTGCGATTTGGCATCCTGACAATTAAAACCATTGGCTGAAGGGGGCTGCAGGCCCACTTCCTTTCTGGAGTTGCAGCTACCCAGTTGTTCTGCTAGGGCAAGTCTTTGGCTTGTACATAGTCTACTAGTAAGGCTAGGGGGCAAAAAGGTTTACGTTAGGTAGATGTAAACCTTGCTCATGCTACTTTTGGGTCAGTCTCCAGGGAGAATTGTGTGGGTTTTTTTGTTTTTGGGGGGGTTTTTTTGTTTTTGTTTTTGTTCTTGCTTGGCACCAATAGCCGGTGCTAGGAAGCTGCAGGCTTCAAAGGTATTTGTGTTCAGTTAATAAAACTGACCTATCCTAGAGGTCTGGTTTAGAGGGCATGTCAGCAGTTGACAGGTAAAGGACCTTGGCTTTCATCAGGATCCAGGTGACTGCCAAAAAGTCACAATACAAATTCATAGCAATAGGATATATTGACTCCTTATTGTTTGGCTCCAAGCACTCTGCTTTCAGACCGAGTTAATTGAAATCCTTGCCTTTGGCTACATCTGACATATCTAACGAAGGTACAATTGTGCGTGCTAGAAAATTGAACTGTCTTCGGTTTTGTTTGTTCAGTGAAAATGCTACTCAAAGGAATACATTTTTAGGGGAAGACTTTGTGGTACATCTCATGCACGTTTCTGTAAGTCTGTTCATGGACTTCTGCTTAATTTTTCCCCATATGAATAGAACGGGCATACTTCCTTTTCAGAGATCACATTGCATAAGCCTAGAGAGCAATCAATATACCTGCTGAAATTAAATTATATTGGCTGTTTGCTACAGAAGAGCAATGCCTGTAATTTAACCAGACAGGGTTCCTTGCGTGAATTTGATATCTTTTATTAGACCAACCCAAATCTTCCATCCAGGAAGAGCAAGATTTGGGTTGGTCTAAAAAAAGATACCAAATTCACCCAAGGAACCTTGTCTGCCTATGTCCTTAGACCAACATGGCTACAACCCAAACCCCTGTAATTTAACCAGCAATTCTTTTTCAGAGACAACTAAAAGCAGAAGCCAAGAAAGCTATTGGACAGCTACAACTGCGCACACTAAAGCAAGGGGACAAGGTATAGTTGGCAATCTCCATTTAGCTTTTGAGCTCCTAAACTATGAGTCTGGATCTAAACTTTCTTTTTGCTACTACTAAAACTGGCTGTACAAGTATCTTAATATCGCAATACCCTAATGATTGAGGGGGAGACGGTGCAAATTGAAGCGACTTAAACCAGTGTCTTGTAACGGATATCAGCCTGCAAACCTGCTTTCTCCCCTTTTTAGCCTAACTGGTATTTTTAAAGTATAGTGTTAGATGCTTATTGCTTCTGTTCAAAATTAGGTCTCTTACTCTGGTAACTGTAAATATTCTGGCATGGGAATTCTTCTAGATGACTGGCTAGATCATATCTAGCACTTAACTGCCACTGTAATGACTGTTTCTTGGGATAGGTAATGACTTGCTCTCTTTGGGTAGGAAACTGGTCCGGATGGTGACAGCTGTGCAGTGTGCATTGAAGCATACAAGCCCAATGAAGTAGTGCGTATCTTAACTTGCAAGTAAGTACCCACCTTAACTCTTGAGTATTTGAAAGGTGTTTATAGAGGCAGTGTTCACTGTTGATGGTATTTTAGACATTGGTTATTACTATAGGAATTGCTCAGCACAAATAGACTTCCATATCCTCCAAGGTTTCGGAGATCAAAAAAGTATGGAGGGTATGGTACAATCTACCACTGTAAACGATGGCGGGTTAACAAATAGTTAGTTAAACTAGGCCACCCACAAAGCTTGTGAAGGATTTTATAGATTTGTTTTACTGAAAATTTTATACCGTCAGAACGAGCATGCCTCGGCATAAATAGTATGGTTCCAGAAACGTAAACCTTAGACTGGCTCCTGCCAGCCTAACTCTTCAAAGTCTAGTTTCAGACCAGTAACCCCACAGTAGCAAAGCTTTTGTTAAGGTCTGTCTGGTAAGTGTGGCCTGGAGGTAGTAGGCTATGGGTTTGTGTGTTTTGCTTGCTTTTTCCTTCGTAGTTCAACTCCATAGAAAGCGACAGTTTCCTCTGCCCTTAGAATAAAGGCAGGACCCAACACCATGCGTTGGCGGTGTTCTTTTTGGTAGCTTGTAACTTGCCTAAGACTACTTTTTGGGGAAGATATTAGCTACAGCAGTTTGGCCTTTCTTTAAGGTAAAATCTAACTAGTAAACTGAAGCTGGAAGCTTTTCTCAGTTTCGGTCTTGGTCTACAGTCTGTCAGGTTTGAGGAGTTGGGGTGATGTCAGTACAGGTATGTTGGAAGGGGGCTGTCTCAGCATTCAAGTGTTGGAAGCTTCAATACAGGTGAGATGACTCAGTGTTGAGGGCAGAGTTGCATGACATATTGTTCTCACATGAGGAGGATACAGGCAGTGGTCAGCTGGGAATTGAGTTTGGAAGGAAGGACAGATCACAAGGTAAGGCTGCTTTCTCCTCCCAAGCAGGAGTATCTAATGGATGGAAGCTGGGATCAGCATGGTCTTGCATAAGGTTACAATCTTATGCAAACACGTGCTAAGATCTGTTATCACATAGGGGGGTGTCTGTGTTGCCACTGACTCGAAGGACTTAAGCTGTTGATGAAAGAAATGAGGAACTGGTCTCCTTCTCAGTCCAATGCTGAACGGTTTAATGGTGACAGCAGATGAGATGAACACGTTTTGCAAAAACACTTCCGTTAAACATTTGTCTTGTCGTGTGGTCATGTTGGCAGTTAGCTTTCAGCAGCTGCCTAGGAGACCTCCTGCAGTAATGAGTCAACTTCTTAGAGTAGAAAGGCAGGTAGACTAGGCTCGTATGCATCCTAAGTACTTGTGCTTGGAGGATGGATCTCTAACTCTCGTAAGGGGATTTAAAAGCAAAACTTGGATGATTGGGTAGAAATACCAATCATCTTAAAACATATTTCGGATGCGTAGACTTACTGGAAGGATATTCCTCCTTAATACTGCTTTTCTCAAGTCCAAATGCTGTACCCATTGGCTCTGGTTTAAGAGTATATGTCACTTGAACTCTTCATAGTTTCATAGTATCATAGTAGCTAGGGTCAGGAGGGACCTGAACAGGTCATCTATCCTGACCCCCTGCCACAGGCAGGAATGAATGCTGGGTTTACAAGACCCCAGACAGGTGAGCGTCCAACCTCCTCTTGAATTTACCCAAGGTAGGGGTGAGGACCACTTCCCTGGGAAGTTGGTTCCAGATTTTGGCCACCCTAACTGTAAAATATTGCCTTCTGATCTCTAACCTAAACCTATTCTCCATCAGCTTATGACCATTGTTCCTTGTCACCCCAGGTGGTGCTGGGGAGAAAAGGGCTCTACCTATTTGCTGATGATCTCCCCTGATGAGCTTGTAGGCAGCCACCAGGTCCCCCCTCAGCCTCCTCTTGCTGAGGCTGAACAGGTTCAGGTCCCTCAATCTCTCCTCATAGGGCCTGTCCTGCTGCCCTCTCACCAAGCAGGTGGCCCTCCTCTGAACCCTGTCCAGGCTGGCCACATCCCTTTTGAAGTGCGGCGCTCAGTACTGGACGCAGTACTCCAACTGCGGCCTGACCAAAGTCGCATAGAGGGGGAGCATCACCTCTCTGGACTGGCTTGAGATGCACCTTTGGATGCATGACAAGGTATGGCTGGCCTTGCTGGCTGCGGTCTGGCATTGGCGGCTCATGTTCATCTTGGGGTCAATAATGACTCCAGGATCCCTTTCTGCCTCTGTGCTTTCAAGAGGGGAACTCCCCAGCCTGTATGTATGCTGTAGATTCCTTCTCCCAAGGTGCAGCACGCTGCATTTGTCTACATTGAACCCCATCCTATTCTCGTCTGCCCACTTTTGTAGTCTGTCTAAATGTAGTTGCAGCCTCTCTCTCCCTTCAAGTGTGCCCACCTCGCCCCACATCTTAGTGTCATCAGAAAACTTGGACTAGGAGGTGGAAAGCACGCTGTCCAAGTCGCTGATGAAGATGTTAAACAGAAGAGTGCAAGGAGTGGATTCTTAAGAATGATTTCAACTCTGAGCTGTGTTTGTATGGTCCTTGTGTGAGAGAGGTTTGTGGCGGCACGGGAAGGATAACATGGACTTCTGACTGCTGGTGTATGAGTGAGTGCTGCAGATATCCCTTGATATGGGATCAGGGTTGTAATCTGTAGGGGGGGGGTTCTCACATGTTGGCACACTGGAAGCCCAGCCTTTTCTGTGCTATTGTGCTACAAAGGCTCTGACTATTTGTTGATTTAACTTTTCATTAAGACCAGCTTCTTGTATCAAATATAACTTGGCAAACCCTCACTGGAGATCAAGAAACCCATTTTGGGATGGTAAGCAAAGCACATCTCTAAATGGGCCACCTTGTCTAGTTTTTTCTGTACAGGGGCCCAACAGTAAAGGTAGCGTGGTATTCTTTGCACGCTTCAGCACAGAGTTCTGGCTGGTGATGGTCTATCTCGCTCTGCCTTGCTGAGTTCTGGTCTGTGTTGAAGGTTGTAAAGGCAAGTCACTTAAAACTAGATCGCTGTTAAGTAAGTTTCAATGGATTTTTGCATTCTCATGTCCCGTGTCTCCTAAACTGGGTCTGTGACAGAACTGGTGTACACAGAGGCGTTTCTAGACGTACATGCTTGTATTAGAGCAGGCGGTGTGCTACATATTCCTTGTACACACCCACTTTCTTTTGTGTGCTTAAAATAAAACACTTGGAGGTGTGCCTCAGGTTGAGGACACAACATTGATTATCTAAGGTTTCTCCTAGCTTTTGCAGAAGCAAGTGGCATTTAGTCATATGCTTCTGCATAACAAATATGCTGACCTTTAAATCTAGGGCTGAGGTGTAGAATTTCATGTTCACTTGGCTTATACAAATATAGGCGTTATCAGTTTGCAACCTATTGTACACAGATAGGAAGCTATAAGACTGGGCATAACTCAGATAATATACATAATATGCTGACTTGTTCTTGTAAGTGCTACAGGATCTAATAAGCACAAAGTGTGGCAATTACAGGTGAATACAGTTATAAATTAGTCATAGCAAGAACCTATTTGGAGAACTATAGCTCCAAGCAAAGTCATGTAATGCCACTCTGGAGGAGTTGATTTTCATGGCTTTTTCAAAGTAATCTGCATTGCTAGAAGGTGTAAAGATTTCCTCCCCAAATCTCCATGGGGAGCATATTACAAGAGGATTACTTTCAGTTGGCATAGAGCCACAAGTGCCCTACAGCATGGCTGGTTAAGCCCTTCCTGTTTGTTCAAACCTTAGTGAAGGAGATGTCAAGACTATTCAGTTTTTTAGCTCTCAACAAATTTCTTATGCTTATGGCCTAGTCCAGTGATGCCCAACCTCTTTCCTTGGTGGGCTGGATGGGCAGTGCTCCGTCTGTCTTTGAGCTGGATCCCTCTAGTCATCCTGATCTGGCATGGGCACAATGGGCACCATCTGGTCAACTAGGTTGGGGACTGCCTAGTTACCTTGCTGGGGTCGTTTGACCCCAGCATTCTTTCCTGCCTATGGCAGGGGGTGAGA